TACGTGCGTGCCCAAGATCCCGAGAGGAGAATGGAGGAGAAGGGATTGCGGCGTGACCATCCCCCCTGGGGGGTGATTTCTCGCTTTTTGTCTTTCTGTCTCTCTCTGTCTGTCTGGTGAGCGCACACGCCCTACAGTGAAAATCTCTCCAAAAAAAAAAAAAAAGATGTTAGTGTTGTGGGCCAGTAGGTTGTGTGGTGGTTAAGGCACTAGATCCCACATAGCTGACTCTGTGGTTCAATTCCTGAACCCAGCAGCTTGAAAAACATACTGGCGCATGTGTGTGTGTGCCCAAAATCCTGAGAGGAGAATGGAGGAGAAGGGAATGTGGTGTGGGTGATGGCCCACTTTCCATCTTTCTCTGTCTCTTTTCATCAAGTGCACATACCCTATGGCAAAAATCTTTTTTTTCCTTTTTTTTTTTTTTTTGCCCTATAGCAAATTAAAGAAAAATAAAATAATTTAAAACTTCACTGTTTGTCATTTCTTTTTCATTCATCCTAGATTTTTAGTGCTTTCATCTGCATACCAACATTTGACATATGCTTTCTTTGACATAGTGATTGGATGTGGAGAAATCAAATATATAAATTTTCATGCCATAGTTTTCATATTCATCTTATTTGTAACAGTGAATTTTACAAGGTAAGAATTGTATTTTTATTATTTTTGCTAAATTTAGGTTCTCAGGAATTAGAACTGGGAAACTGTGGAGTATGACAGAAAGGACTCTGGACATGGAGACAGGAGGCCTGTACTGTGTAGGCCTTGACGGCAGCTTGCTCTGCAGCCGGGGAAGTGTTTATTTTTCAAGGTTTCAGAGGGAATGAGAGGAGGTAGACAGCAGCACCTGGATCCCTCATGAGAGGAGACTCACAGAAATACAAATTGGTGGGCTCAGCCCAGCCAGTTCCGTCTCTGGAGAAGATCCTTGAGTGGCGCTAACATGCACTCTCTGTGGTTCTTATGCGTGTTAAAGCTAGAGCCCGCTGGACCAAATTAGCAGCTCCTAATCTCTGTTGGCTTTCGTCATCATCTGTTCCCACCACGGGCATGACAGCCGTTTGTTAGGCACTTGCCATGTGCCATTCCTGTTAATACACCATAGGTACTGTCCTTGCCGCATAATGACATTTGGTCAATGGCGAGCT